CTAAGTTCCCCATTTTCTTGCTGACTGTCAGCTGGGGGCCACCCTCAGCGCCTAGAGGCCCCTGCAGTTCCCTGCCATGTGGCCCTCTCCCTAGGTCGTTCCCAACATAGCAGCTCACTTCCTCAAGGCCAGCAGGAGAATCTCTTGCTCCAGTCTGCTGAAGAAGGAGTTTTACACAATGCAACATAATTATGGAAGTGACATCTATTCATCTTTGCCAATTCTTTTGCCTAGAAGTAAGTTACAGGTTCTCCCCACACTCAAGAGGAGAGGATTCTACAGGGGCATGACTCATGGGGGGTGGGGGGTGTTACCTTAAGGCGTATTTGTCATAGTTTAGAAAAGAGATGTCAGAGTGAACTGGGATCATCAGGGGAGGCTTCACGGAGAAGGGACTTAGAGTTCCTTTCTCATTTTTTCATAGACTCCCTTCCTCTTCTGTCTTCTAAATTGGGAGGGGGAGAATTCTGTGGGTTCTGGCCTTGGCACTCCGTCATCTCACTACACACTCTGCCTGGAGGCTGTCATCTGCTACTGCCAAGAGCCGAGGGCTCCCCAGTCTATGCTCTGGTCCAGACCCCTTCCGCTAATGCCAGGCTCATGCATCCGACCAGTTACCAAACAATTCCTCTTGGACGTCCTACCTGTAACCCTATTGCCATTGTGTCAATTCCGACTCATAGCAACCCTATAGGACAGAGTAGAACTGCCCCATAGGGTTTCTAAGGAGTGGCTGGTGGATTTGAACTGCCAACATTTTGGTTAGTCACCAAGCTCTCAACCACTGTGACACCAGGATCTCCTACAGGCCCCTCAAATCTAACATGCTCCGAAATGAACTCATTATCTTCCTTGCAAACCTCTTCCTCTTCCTTTTTATACCTTGTTTTGGGGAATCACACCATCAACTGCGCTTTTGCCCAAGTCAGGAATCTTATGTCATCTTTCGTCCCTCACCCTCCCACCCAAGATCCAAGTGGTCACCAAGTCCCTTCTCAGCAGTGAATGTCCTCTGTATTCACACCACCATGGCCCTAGGTGACTCTAACCAGTTCTCACCTGAATCACTGCAATTGCTTCTTAACTGACCTTTCTACCTCAATTCATTCTCCATGCTTCCCGCAGAGAAAACTTTCTGAAACACAAATTTGATAATGCTGCTGCTCTGCTTAAAAGCATCCAGAGGTCCCTAAATATTTAGGAATGAAATCCAAACTCCTGTGCATGATATTCAATATCAGCAGCCCTCCTGGATCTGACCCTTACCCACCAGTTCTGGTTCCGCTCGCTTCTCTCCACTCCCTCCGTCATCCCTCCCCTCTGCTCCAGTCTCACAGAACTGCAGGTCGTCCTTAGCCTGCGTCAGGTTCTGTCAGATCTCTGTGCTTGAGATTTGTGTTCTCCTTGTCAGAAATGCCCTCAACCACTACCTTCTCTGTCTTGCTAACTCTTCTCTCCTATGGAAACTTAGCTCAGCGGTCGCATTTCATGAGGATTTTTCCCTAACTCCTCACCCTCAGGATGGTTGAAGGCCCCTCCTGCGCCCCCCTAACACTCACACTTGCTTCTATCACGGCTCTCATTACACTGCATTGTAATCGCTTTTTCTCGGGCTGTATCTTTCACTAGACTCTGAGTTCTCAAGAGCAGTAATGGTGCCTTATTTTATTATTTTGATGCTCTGGTCACCTTTTCTTGCAATCTGATCTTTTCTACATATTTTATTTATTTCCTTTTGGAATAGGCAATACGTTCACCTAACTAAAAATTCAAAAGTTATAATAAAAAAGGCATATAGTGAAAAGTCTCCCCCCTACGCCTGTCGTCTACTCTGGCTGCCCAGCCCCTCTCAGGAGGCAATCAGTGGTATCAGTTTCTTGTGAATACTTCTAGAGACATAAACATATATAGTTCCCCTCTTTACTCAAATGGTATCATGTTCTGTACACCTGCTGCACGTCGTTCCATCTACCCATGAGCGGTGTCCATGAGATCATTCCAGAGCTGCACATGAAGAACTTCCGTATTCTTTGTTCAGGTATTCAGCTTTCCATTGCGTGGCTCTATCATCATTAAACCCATGAGCATTTCAGCTGTGTCCAGTCTTTGATGAATACAAACAATACTGCAATGACTAACCTCATAAAAATGCCATTTCCCGTATGTCTGAGTGTAATAGGAAAATGAACCCCTAGAAGTAGAATTGCTAGATCAAGGTGTATGTGCCTTTGTAATCTTGCCCATGCCTGTTGTCCTCCATGAAGCTTGTGGATATCATCTTATTTATCTCTGTGTCCCCTAGCCACTGCTACAGAGCCTGGCACAGAAAAGGTGCTCAGTACAGCTTTGCGAAATAAATAAATGAAAAAAATAACTCTTTTAGTGGAGACCCCTTTCTTTTTCCTTCTCTGACCATTTGCTGTAGTAGATAAATTCCTTCCCATTCACAGCACAGTGCAAACCAAACAATTCACATTCACCCCCCGCCCCATGCTATGATTATTTTGGAGCAAAATTCTTCGTCTCTTATTAATGTCCATATTTGCATAACTAATAGATAGCCTTCTTCATTAGCTTGCTTATAAAATAAGGTCACAATTATTTTTTATGTTTTAATTATAAATAACTCTGAGTCCTCATTCCACATTTCATGAGATGTCTTGATTTTTTTACTGGATTTTTTTTCCCCCTGAGCAATTCCTGGAAACACTTACATAGTTCACAAATTCTTTCAGGGGGTTGCTTGTTGCTGTTATCAGCCACAGACCTCTGCAAGTTAACTCTTATGGTCTTTTAACTATCCCTGTGGCTTTGGGATCCGTTGCTTATTAGCTGTGTGAACTCTCTCTGCCTGTTTACTTATATACAAATGAGGATTAAATGAGATTATAGATGTTAAATGCTTAGAATTGTGAGCATTAAATGAGATTGTAGATGTAAAACGCTTAGAATAGTGTTTGGCACATATTACTGTTGGGAGAGACAGTCATCCATGGGCCTTTTGCCCTCCTACTCTTCTTCCCGGGTGTGACAAGAATGCAAGGCTGTGACCGCTCTTTATCAAGGTTATTTCTCAGGATTGTGTTTACAGTGAGCAACTTTGAGGGATGAAGTAATGTCTCCCCCCGGGATAAAGAACAGGTTTGTTTACCGCTTCCTATACAATGGCACATTCCCCAAACTCAGTGTTCCTCGGTTGTGGTGTAAATCCAGTGAGTGTACAGCATCCACCTGATCCCTTTGTGTCATCCCCTGGGGCCTGGGAGGCAAGAAGAACCAACACAGACTTTCTGAAGCCCACATTGCTTGCTGTGTCATAAGTAATGGCCCTTTGTCTCTCAGCCAGGAGTCTCGTGTCTTCGATCAGCATCCATGAAGCAGTAACAGACTTCATTTACTAGCCTGTCAGAAGGGTAAAATCAAATACCAGACCTGAGAAATAAATGCTTAAGTAAGCTATTTTCATTTTTTTTTTGCTCTTGTTCTTCTTACTTGCCTTAACCAGGCACACTGCACAATATTTGTAAGTTTGTGTTTTGGTATGTAGCTAAAAAGCATTAATTGTTGCCTCTTGCAGAGAACTCTGAAGTTGTCAAGGATTTCATTTTACTTGGATCCACAATCAACACCCACGGAAGCAGCAGTCAAGAAATCAAAAGTCGCATTGCGTTGGGAAAATCTGCTGCAAAAGACCTCTTTAAAGTGTTGAAAAGCAAAGATGTCACCTTGAAGACTAAGGTCCGCCTGACCCAAGCCATGATGTTTTCAATCGCCTCCTATGCATGTGGAAGCTGGATGATGAATAAGGAAGACGGAAGAAGAATTGACGCCTTTGAATTGTGGTGTTGGAGAAGAATATTGACTATACCACGGACTGCCAAAAGGACAAACAAATCTGTCTTGGAAGAATTACAACCAGAAAGCTCCTTAGAAGCAAGGATGGTGAGACTACATCTCACATACTTTGGACATGTTGTCGGGAGGGATCAGTCCCTGGAGAAGGACATCATGCTTGGTAGAGGGTCAGCGAAAAAGAGGAAGACCATCAACGAGACGGATTGACACAGTGGCTGCAACAATGGGCTTAAGCATAACGATCGTGAGGATGGTGCAGGACCGGGCAGTATTTTGTTCTGCTGGGCATGCAGTCGCTATGAGTCGGAACTGACTCCAGGGCACCTAACAGCAACAGCAGAGAACTCTACTGTGCTGCTGAGGAAAACAAAATGAATTTGAAATAAAGTTAACTTCAAAATTATGGCTCAATTGAAATAATTACTTAGCCACTCTAATATCCAATTCTATATCACTGAGACCGTAGTTTCTTCTCTACATACGTTTTTTGTGTTATTTTGCGCATAGTTTTCATGGAGTTGCAATACACGAAAGTTGCACAAATGTAACTGGGCCTTAGTTCCTGTTACATAATAGCTGGATGACTTTGCGGACTGGAAGGTTCAGCTTCCTAGTATATGAAATAGGGAAACTAAGTCGTGAGCACAAGGTTGTTGGGACTACTGAATAAAATAATGTATGTGAACAGGTACACTGAACAAATGACGCCTTATTCTAATTTCAGACTGTGTTGATTCACAAATGTCAATTTATCACATATTTTCAGAGGTTATGAAATGAAAGAAAGAAAACCTTGCCCCACGGCAGCAGCTGAATCGTTTTGCCACGTTCGGGACCGAGTTAGAGGCTCACCACACAACAAGAGAGGAAACTACAACTCCCAGCAGACTTTGCTCCTGAACGGCGTCATCCAACCTCAGCCCCGTCCCGCGCCCCGCCTCCTCTCGCCTCCGCCGACAAGAAACTACATTTCCCAGGAGGCTCCATGGTGCCTCGCCGCTCGCTTTCTCCCCGCCCCCTGCCTCCCCTCTCTCCCGCCGGCAGCTCGGTGGCCGACGCGGGTTCGGCGGCCGGCGGAGCGAGCGGGCGCGCGCGCCGGGGGTCGCGCGGCTGCTGAGAAGGGCGAGTGCGCGCAGAGCGGGAGCGGAGGCGTAGTGGGGCGGGGGCGCGGCTCGCTCGCACGCAAGATGGCGGACGAGGACGGGGAAGGGATTCACCCCTCAGCCTCTCACAGGAACGGAGGCGGCGGCGGCGGCGGTGGGGGGCCCGGGCTCCACTGCGCCGGGAACGGCGGCGGGGGAAGCGGCGGCCCGCGGGTGGTGCGCATCGTCAAGTCCGAGTCCGGCTACGGCTTCAACGTGCGGGGCCAAGTGAGCGAGGGCGGGCAACTGCGGAGCATCAACGGGGAGCTGTACGCGCCGCTGCAGCATGTGAGCGCCGTGCTGCCCGGGGGGGCGGCCGATCGGGCCGGGGTGCGCAAGGGGGACCGCATTCTGGAGGTGTGAGTATCGGGGCCGCCCGCTTCCCCCCCCCGCCCTCCCCTCTGCCCCTGTCACCCCCAAACCGCACCTCCCCCACCCCGGCCGGCCCTCGGGACCCCCGCCCCTCCAGGCCCCCGCGGCTCTGCACCTCCTGGTGGGTTGACCCCTCCCCTCCCCGCACCCGGGGCTCCGCGACCCCCGCCTCCCTCCGTCCTTGGCCCCCCCCCGTCATCTCCAGTCTGTGTCCCTGCGCCCCCCGTGTGTCCCCCCCGTCCCCAGTCCTTGGCTTCAGCCCCCTTCCTGCCCTCTGTCTGCTCCCCTGGGCTCGCCCTCCTCCCGATGCACCTTTTCGGCTCCTAACTGACAGCACCTCCTTTTCTGACCCGGCCTGTCTCGCGTCCTCCCCAAGTTCCCACCTTTCGCATCACAGTTTCCCATTTGCCACCTCTCCCGGCAGCCCCTGGGGACTGTCCCTGCTGCCCTCTAGACCAAGCCGGCAGGACCCTGGTCGGCTGCTCCTTTTCCCCCGGAAACATCATCCCTGCACCCCGCCTTTCCTTCATTACCCCCTCCCGATGGTTAAGCGCCCCCATGTTTTCCCCTCCTGTCCTGTGCCTTGGCTTCCCTTTCCTCCCCTCGTGTGTGTCCGTGCTCCGAGATGATACCTTCTTTCCCGACCCTTGCATGCCGGGGTGGTTGGTTGTCTTTGACACCGTAGTTCCCTTCTCGGTATGTTACACCCTGGTTTTGAATCTGATGTCTCCGTCAAGGGTCCCTCGGAGTGAATCCCGGGTCCGGCCCCCCGTCTTCGCTCCTGCACCGTGCCCCTTCTTCTATTTAGTCAGGTTTAGGGTAGAAGCTCCCCTTAGCTCCTTGTTCTCCCAGACTACACCCCTCTTTCGCGTCCTTGACCTCCCCACTTTTTCCGGGCACGCCATCTCCTATCTTGCCCTCTGTGATCCCACACTTCATCCGATTCTTTCTCTCCTTCCTCTTCGTTTGAAGTCTCCTGCTGCTGCAGCCCCTCCCTCTCTTCCTCCTTCATCCTCACTTCCTCATGGCATCCCCTAAAGCTTCCCTTGGATGCCGCCTCCACCCCCGTAATCCAGGCGCTGCATTGGTGTTGTTTGCACGTTGTATTACAGTTCCTACAGTGCTGGCTGGTTGACCTGTAGGGGTTTGCTCCCATTGTTGCCGTTCTCGGCAGCAGTCTAGTGCTGTCTTCTCTCTGTACTAACCCCATAGTGTATATTCTTTTTTCACACTTGTGCTCTTTCCCTTCATGCTTGGATTTGCCCTCATGCAGTCTAATTTTTCATAATTTTGTTTGTAATTTCCACAACCTTCAGTCTTCCCTCCAGTAGAACAGATTTGTGCAAGGTTTGCAAGGGCAGTACCTCGAACATCTGGCCTAGAGGAGTCCATTCCTTCTTGTTCTCCTGACGCCCCCAGGCCCTTACCCTTGACATTGTCACCCTATGGTATCCATTCGTTCAGCCTCATCCCTTCCATCTTAGAGTAGCTCAGCACTGCAAGTGATTGGAGATGGTATTCCTGTCTTCTGTCTTTTCTCTACATAGATGCTTTCTTTTTCCATTAAGGTATTATTGTTTATTGTTTTCTTTTCTGGTGTTCTCTGGCAGTATACCTTAATCTTTTGGAGGACAGTACACATAGAATGCAATAGTGACCTTCTGGTTTCTTGTGCCTGGGCACCTCGTTCTTTTCTTTCTAGATGATTCAAAATCTGTGGAATCTGTGACCAGTGTTTCCTTCTTATAGAAGCTTCTGAAATTGTCATTTTCCTTTCCCCTTGGAAAAGGGAATATATGTGTGTGTATATATATATATATGTATTTTCCCCCTCATTGAATCTTGGAACAGTAATGAGACTAAATTGAAGCCAGTATTGTTCAGTTTGTCTTTTCTGCCTTCAAATTGACTAGATTTTAACTGGTTTGGGAAAGAGGCATGTTGCAGGGCTTGGTACTGCAGTATGAACAAGCCCTCTGGGCTCTAAATTTTCTGCAGTGGAAAGCTTTCTTGACTAGCAATATATAAAAATATATGAATAGAAATACTATATATATATAAAACAGCAAACGTAGTTGGTGGCTTCTTGCCTTAGTTTTTTGTGCAACAGAGCCCAGGTATGAACTTGGTACTGTAAAGGAAGCACAGATGATCCCCTGGGACAGGTGGAAGCACTTGCCTCAGGCCCAGGTTCCGTTGCTCCTGTAAAAGAAAAGACATATCCTTGGTGGTGAGTAGAGAACTTCTTTCTTGGAGTGTGCAGGCCGAAGAATACTCTTTGTTTAGAGAACCTTTCTCTGTAAGGTTGTGATGAGCAGTAATCTTCCTGGCATTGGTTGACCAGCTTTTCCAGCTGTGTATAATTTGATTTGCAAATTATTTACAGCTTCTCTGGTACCATAGTGGGAATGGTGATAGTTACAACACAGCTGAGCTAATTGGTAAATTTGCTGATAACTATATAGTTTCTTTGTCTTTCCTAACCTTCTTTCGAAGTCTGTATCTTACTAAGTTTTCAGGTGAGGGGAGAAAGTCAGCCACACACACGTGCTCTTTGGGGGTACTGCTGCTTGCTGCTTGTTCTGATCTTACTGAGGTTTATGCTGATTTTCCATAGCTTTCTGGGCAGCTCTCCTGAGAGGTTTTCCGCGTTTCTCACCTCAGTTCTTTAGGTTAACCTCCCTGGTGTCCCAGGAAAGCTTTGCATGTGGACAAGGTGGCAGGTAGGGTCAGGGTTAGGGACAGGGGGGTTATCGTTGCATAGATGTAGTTTGTATTACATCATAGGTGGATCTCTAGACTTGGATGTTCAAGACTTTTCCCTGTTTTAGACTCTTTTGCCCTACACACAGATTGTTTTTTTCCAGTGTTCATATGTCACAGTTGTTCGGACAGCTAATAGGAACAGAGAAACGTTGGGATTTGAGATTTAAGGGATACAGGCTTGGACACAAATGAGAGCATCAATTTTTTTTTTTTTTTTAAGTCTGTTTAGCAAGGCCCTGTCCTTATGGAATCTTGGAACGGTAGTGAGGCTAAACGAAGCCAGTATGGTTCAGTTTGTCCTTTCTCCCTCGAAAACTGACTAGATTTTAACTGGTTTGGGAAAGAGACATGTTCAGTGCCTGGTGCTGCGGTATGAACAAGCCCTCTGGGCTCCAGATTCACTACAGATGGAAAGTGTGCTTGATTAGTAATATTAGCCTCCACCTTGTCGTGTTTCCTGCATAACACACCTTCAGTGTCTTTCCTTTGATGTGTATGTACCTGGAGGCTAATTAGCAACGTGCTTTCAACAAATAGAACCAAAATAAATAATGTCCTTGCGCTAATTATACGGTATGTGAGGTAGCATTCGACTTCAGTTTGATTTTCTTAAGTTTCAAGTATTTCCAAGGACTCTTGACTGATTTTTTGAGAACTGCCCTCAGGAGGGTTTCAGCTTGCAGCGGGTGTGGATATGACACTGTCGGTATTGTTGAGGCATTAACTGTGTTGGCTAGTTGGTTTCTTTGGAGTTTGGGCAGTGTAGTATTTAAGCATGCACCCCGAAGGTCGACCTGCAGCATTTGAAATCATGATAGATGTATGCTAGCCGGAGCATGTACTTTCCTCCTTGACAGATACAAGGTAATATACCCATCAACCTTAAGGAATGGGTATATCAGTGAAAAGTTAGACCATAAGGGAAATTAAAGCTGTATATGTCAATTTGCCCTGGTGGCACAGTGGTTGAGAGCTTGGCTTCTAACAAAAAAGGTTGGCAGTTCGAATCCACCAGCTGCTCCTTGGAGAGTCTGTGGGGCAGTTCTCTTCTGTCCTATAACATTGCTATGAGTCAAACTCAACTCGACGGCTAAGGGTTATATCAATTTGTTTATTGTGAGTCAGTTAATTTTAATAACATTAATATCTCATGGTTATTCTGTTTTTGGGCTCCATTTTATGTGAAAGTTCGAAAATCCTTGAATAAAAGGGGGCTGGTGGCGTAAGAAGATTCTCACAAGTGTGAGTCACGGAACGTTGATTGCTAAGTACCTTCTCAACGCTTGCTTTCTCGGTTATAACTGAATTCTCCTTGGCTCAGATTTTGCATATAGATTTTGGCGATGGTCTTTGAAATCATGGTTACTGACCAAAGGAGGTTTTTATGACAGTCTTTCTCAAGCTTTAATGTGTGTAAGGATCATTTGGGTGTGCCTGTCAGCAGTATAGATGCTTGGCTTAACCTTTAGGGGTTGTTAAATAGGTCTTGCATGGGGCTGAGAATCTTTTACTTCCTTGCCAGGTGTGGGTGGTGCAGATGGGCCTCCAGTTACATACCTGGGGCGACACTACAGGTTATATAGGCCCTGGGTTCTCAGTTTATCTTCATGGTTACATTGAGGGTCCTGAGCTAAGACCGTACCTACAGAGCTGTCATAGTGATTTGTTTGGCTCCTGAATTATAATCTAAGTGGAAAACCAGTAAGTAGATAATGGACTAACTACTGTGTCTGATCATCTATACTTTATTTATTGGGTCTTGCGAAGCTGTTGCCCTAAAGATAAGTGGTTAGGAAGTAGAGCAAATCAAAGCAGTAGTAGCAATCATTGTATCACTTCAGTTCATATGTGGTTTGTTACAGTTTGCACAGACAGCATCTTTACATTTGATTTGCACATCAGGCTGGTGAGACAGGGAGATTGTAACTCCTGGAGGGAGGGCGGGGGACTACCTTTATGTGTAGAACGGTATCCCTAGGCACACCACTGGCACATGGAAGGTACTGTTCAATAAATTCTTGCTGTCATGGCTGGGTGAGTACTGCTGGCTCTGTCTGTAATAGAGGAAACCGAGTGCTGCCCAGAAAGTGCAGCCAGAATTGAACCTAGGTCTTTGGACTCTAAATCTAGCGTAGTTTCCATTTGCTGCCGACAGACTCTGTTTTCTCAACTGTTCTTGACTGTGAACAGCCACTTAAAATTCTTAAAATTTGGTCACATC